CATACGCTGAAATATTATTCACCCCCCAGAAAGAATGAGACATGCTACAAACATGGATGAATCCTGAAACCGTGAAGCTAAGCGGCCAGACACATAGGGGCACATATTGTAATTCCATTTATATGAATGGTCCATAATAGACAAATTCACCTAGCTAGAAAACAGACTAGTGGTTCTCAAGGTCTGGGAAGAGGGAAAGTTAGGAAGTGATCACTTAAGAGGTACGGAGTCTTCTTTGGGGGTGATGCAAATGCTCTGGAGTTAGAAGATTGTACATGTTCTAATTGCTATTGAATTATATACTTTGGATTTCACCTCAGTAGAAAAACAAACAAACAATACTTGGAGGTTAGAAAAATCACCTAGAAAGTGAAGTTTTGGGTTATTTTTGGCTGCAGGTACTGAAAAGTCCGGACCTGCCCCTTCTTCCTCCGCTCTGTCCCTTACCTGTTGGTATGCAGTTTGAGCTGAGAATTCATAGGCATTAGAATTTGCTCAGCTTGACACTCTGGATAGTAAAGCTGGAGTTTTTCAAACACCTACAATAAGAAAATGACACTTTCCTCATTTTTGGAAAAGACAAATAATGGTCTTTATTCATATATAGACTTGGGAAATAGCCCCAAAGGTATGCCATCCTAGTAAGTGACAACTACAAGTCAATAGTCTGCCTAACTTCTAATTAACCTAAAATCTTCCGCACCACTCCGTTCTCAATCAAACAAGGCCTGAGAACACATCTAGGTGTGGTGGATCATAGGCCTTGCATTAGCCCCACCTCTGACCACCAGGCACCAGGCATGTGGTAAAGTTCACATTACTACATCCTCTGTATTACTTAGAACCAAAATAATTTTGAAAGTTCTCCTTTTAATTCTGGCAACCTAAAAAGAGACTTGGGGACCCCTTACAAAATCTCTGATATCAAATTCATACAGATCTTGTACATGTCCCTCTACCTCCTAGCAAAGCGCTCTTCCTACCCCACGATGAAGCAGAGAACCAAAGTCCAAAGAGATAAAATGAAAACAAAAATGGACATTATGTGTCTCACAGAAATAATAACTTTTCTTTTGTGTTCTAAGAACAACAGGAAGATTTAGCTTTTAGCCTGAGATCTACTGGAAAAACTACTCATATTATTATACTTTTCCAGAAATAGAATTGTAGTACATCTTACCTGGGAAAATACCCAAATGGGCATATCATAATACCTGTGTTAGGCAGACCCACTCAGAAGTTGATCTTTCTGGACCCTATTCTGGTGTTCGTGGGGAACGACAGGGAGTGCATGGATGATGACCATGTTGTATAGAAACAGTTAGCAAGTATGGCCAAGAGCTAGGAACAATAACTGTGTTCTGGGGGTTCTTCCAGCAATTCTCTATCTCTACCCAAAGTTCTCTGTGGATGATGAAAGAATAGGGCTCCCTTTGTTTGATATGGAAAACTAAGATTTTGGTTTGGGAACTGGCTTACCAGAATCTGAACTTCATCAGATAGTTCCAACAAATTCTCCTCAAACTGCCCAAAGGAGCTGTTCATG